TATATATATTGTTTAAGTATTTGATATATTTATTATGTCATATTTATGTATATTATATTTTGCAAAGTATAACAATACCTAAATATTATATTTGTAATTTTATAATATTAAAAAAGATTAGTTGTAAATAATTTTAACACGTAAAATAATTGAACTGAACATGAGTTTCAAACATTTATTATATAACACATTTCTTAGTTCTGTTACAGTAGGTTCTATTTTTGGTTTTCTTTTCAACCTACAACCTATATTAGCAATTACTTTCACAATTACTTAAAAAATATACTTGCAATGAAATGTAAATATAAAATAACATGAAAATTTATGTCACATAAACAATATATCATAAAAGTAAAAATTTTAATTTTATTTAATGTTTTATATTTTTTTTATATTATTTTTAAAATATTATGTATTTACTTATATATTTATTATTATAATATAATATATTTAATGAGAAAAAATTAATAAACATAAAAATAATTATATTTTTAAATAATTGCAAATCATGATTTCATTTATTTTAGTATTTCTATATGTTTTCTCATCAATTAAAATTTTAAAAGAGTAATAAAGATTTTTCAATCTTTATAAAGATTTTCCAATAATAACTTTTTTATTATTGCATTATAAATCATATTATTATATGTGTAATCAATACTTCAAATTAGTAATAAAATGTGACATTTAGAAAGTGTAAAAATAAAATTTATTTATACATATATGTATTTTATATTTTATTTATATTATTTAGACAAGAATGCAAGCATTAACACCAAATGCAGGTGTAAGAGGTGGAGTAAGAACTGTTCTAAGGAGGATGGTACAACAAGAAGGTTTTTTGAGACCAATTCGTGGTATGAGTGCAATGGTTGTAGGAGCTGGTCCTGCACATGCATTGTATTTTTCGTGCTATGAATTTATTAAAAATAATTTTTGAATTCAAGAACATATTCTGAATTGAATGTAGCTCCTTATGCAATTGCTGGTTTTGTGGCAACACTTCTTCATGATGGTATAATGAATCCAGCAGAAGGTAAAACATTTTAAATTATTAACAAATAAATAAATTATTCATTTATCATATAATTTTCATATATTACGTCCCAATATTTCCAAAACATGCTAAGTATGTTTTTTTATGGAAACTTAATAAGCTAAATGTGGTTAATAATTTTTAGAATTTTTTCCAATGAAGAAAATAATTATCTTATTCCAGTGGTTAAACAGCGATTACAAATGTATAATTCTCCTTATCAAAATGTTATGACATGTATAAGAAATATATATAAAAATGAAGGTGCATATGCATTTTATAGAAGTTACACAACACAATTAACTATGAATATACCTTTTCAAACGATCCATTTTGTTACTTATGAAGTTGCACAAGTTGTCACAAATCCTAATCATATTTATAATCCAATAGCACATATGGTATCAGGTATATATATATTTTTTGAAAGAAAATATATTATATTATTTTAAAAATTATTTATATTAAATCTAACATGTGAATAAATTACAGGTGCATTAGCAGGAGCTGTTGCTGCTGCAGTTACAACACCTTTAGATGTTTGTAAAACACTTCTAAATACACAAAATGGTGTACAGGCTCAAGGCATGAAAGATGCTTTAAGAATTGTGTATAGATATGGAGGTTTATCTAGTTATTTTCGTGGTTTAAATGCCCGTGTTCTTTATCAAATGCCAGCCACAACTATTTGTTGGTCAACGTAAATATATAAAATAATTTTAATAAAAATTATATTTAATATTATAAAATGAAAAAATATTAATTATAGATATTTATCTAAATAATATTATATTGTATAATATTATTTAAAATGTTAAATAATAATTTTTGTTTTTTTAATTATAATATTTAATATAATTAATATAATTTAATATTTTTAGATATGAGTTTTTCAAATATATATTTCAAGAAAAACAAGATGATGGATATCGTGGACCAGAAATTGATAATGATTCTTCGAGTGAAATTAATCAGAACCAAAGTTCGAATTCTAGATTTCATTTTCTAGTCTTTTTCAAGATATGAGCGTATATCTCGATAAAAATGCTCCAACCTCAGTGTTACTCGGTGTGACAACGAGTTAAGTATTTTTGAATCTTTACCGACACCATTTGAACTGTATGAAGAACTATTGAATAGTAGATAAAATATCCGTTTTTTCGTATTTGGAGAGTTTATCAACAATATTTCGTTAATTCATCTACGGTATTATTACATGTATATAATAATTCATAATGAAGAAATACATGTATAAATGAAAATCCATTTTGAGCCAAGTGCGGGACGCAAGCTCAACGGAATAAGAAAAACGAATCAGAAAATTTCTTTAGTTATTTTTTAATATATGACTATTTAATAATGTATAATTACAAACTAATGACTGCATTTTCTAGTACATTGAAGTAAACAGCAAGTAGTAATTTACAAATATTCACCAAATCATTAAAACATTATTAATTGATATAAAATCTAAAACAAGGAATTGTTAATATAATAAAAAAATATTTTGTTTTTCTTAACATACTATAAAATACTATAAAGATATTATAGAATCTTTGAAACTTTTATTGAATATCATATTTTATTAAACAAAATAATTAACAATGTATTATTTTAAAAAATTAATGAAATACAATTATTAATTAGTAATATTATTTCACAAAGGATAACATAATATAAATGTTGTGTAAATGATAGTTATCCGGTATTATTAAACGTGCTATCATTTACCATACCGTTTATATTAATCAATAAGAAATTCATTATAAAAATTTAAAAAAGATTTATATAACAAACATGCTAAATTATATGTAAACTATGTTCAATTTATTTATGAAATAGTTTATATACTTTTGTTATAAAATAATTTATGAATTATTCGCGTGAATGTATTTTTGGCGTTCATAAAAATACGTGATAAAAAAAAATTTTAATGTTACAATAATTATTCATTAAAGTGAGCCATGTAATTTTGAATCAAAATGATATACACATATTTTGTATAGAAGAAAACTGTTAAAAGTATTTTAATTAAATACAGTAAAATTATATTGGTTAAATCATAAATAAAACAATAATATAATTATCTTTAAAAAATATTAAATTTGAAAAATATGCTCTATTCGAATAGTAAATTAGAATAAATTTAATTAGTATATTTAATATTGTACCATTATTGTACACTTAGATTAAAAAACAAACAGTGGGATGCATGGAAAAATTAATTAGCGAAGCAGTGTGTATAATATAATTAAAATGATATATTTAAAATTGAAATTAAGAATTCTTAATTGAAAATCTCATATATTTCGAATGAAAAATATAAAATTTTAGTATTCGATTTACTATCATAAAATGATAACGCGGTTCATCTAAGTTTAGATAAAATGTAAATTTACTAATACCTTCATTAATCATAAAATGAAACATTAGATAAGTCCTGCATAAAAAGGTACAGAATTTAGACTATCTTGTAGAACAGTATAGATAAGTTAATATTACGTGCGTGTGTACAGTATGAAGAAACAAATTATAAAGCAAAGAAACGGCAATCTTATTGTGCAACAAGTACAATTCGCCTTGATTATACAAGTACAAATTAAGAATTGCTCCTTAGTCTGTGTAATATAAATAATTCATCTAAACATTATATCACAATATTGCTTCCTATGGCTGTGATTACTGAGTCATTTGATGTTGACTTTAAGAGGGAGTAATATCATATGAAAACTCATACTTCACGCCATATTTATTTATTATTGTTCATCGCTACCGATATAATATTATTTGACACCTTAAAACATGTCATTAATTGTTGTATACATAAAAATATATGTATAATCTTTTTATAAATGTCTTTTGATAAATTTTTTTTTCAAACGAAGAAAAATATATATTTAAATTATTTTTATGGTGCGAAGATATGATTTTTTAACAAAAAAAATAAAATTTATAATAAAATTTGGCATATAAATTAATCTATGCATGTAAATATACATGTATATGTTATGTGTATAATGTAAAATGCCAATACACCGAATAAATAAATGGTATTTAGTTCGGTGTTTAATAAATATGCATTTCGCAATAATCTTTAAAATTTAATAATCGCGCAAAATTTAATTCTTTTTAATTGTTTAAATAAATACTCACTTTATATAGTATAAAAAGTAATATTAGCGTCTAATTTTTATTAATATTTACGAAATTAAATTTTATGTATATTTGCAGAGATCATGATGACCAATTGATTTTTATGGACTATTTACCTGAAAAATTAATAGAGTTACATTTTAATTAATATTTGCTTATTAAATTTTTTTTTGTCAACTTATATATAAAATAATGCTCCCACTGATATATTATTGCATAAGTTGATAATGTTAGCGCACGAAAAAATAAATGAACGATATACAATAAAACGTATTATATGTAATAATAATGTAAATAAAATGATTCTGTAATGTAAATAAAATATAAAAAGAGTCATGAAAATATTATTTTTGTCTATTGAATTAATAAAAGAAACATTAGAAAATCGCGATAACATGTACTCTCATTTCAGAGTTATGCTATGTTGAAAATTATTTATAAATGTAATTTTTTTTTAAATCAGTGGGCTTATATTCAAATTTTGATTACAATTTTATATAAACTATTGAATACATAATAAAATTAAATCATGACGACTAAAGGAGTCTGTGATACACGTTGTCAGGCATTTCATACTGAAATGATAAAAAAAGAGGAAAACACACGTATTAACTGGTTTTTGAAAAATCAACAGAAATTATTGGATCGTTTAGAAAAAGCAACAAAAGTTGAATTGCCGCCGAAGTATGAACCAGAGAAAAAACCAAGCATAGGCATTGTATATAATCGTAAATAATATATTACATATATTTATACTCATTTTATAATAAGAATTATATGAGATTTCTTATTTTTTATTAGATACATTTAAAACCCCTACCAAATTGGAGACCTCTCGAACCTGATGGTTCTATCAATATGAATATAATGAAACCCATTGATCCACAAACGAGAGCCATGTTATTTGAAGACGCTCCAAGTTTTATTACCAATGAAAATTATACTTATAAAAGGTTTTACATATATTAACATTTTGTAGTAAAAAAAAAAAAGATTTTAATAAAAAAATCTATTATATTTCTTTCTTTATGTTATTTCAACTTTTCTTTTTTATTGAAGAATCAACCAATATTTATATATATCAATATTTTTTAATAATATTCTCATTAATTATTTTAGATTAAAAGATCTTCCAGAAAATCGTTATTACTATCCGGAGTGTACAAATTGGATATATGGATGGCGTCTATCAGATTATCCATCAATTCCACGAAGTAAATTTTCACATACATTTGTTATGATGCGTGAATTTTATCATCCAAAAATATCAAGTCTTCATAAAGATCCAGAATGGTATCGTCCTTCAAGAAGATTAACATTTGTATGCGACGATTAATGAATTAATCATTTTATTAAATAAAATTTCAAACAGGTATATTTCTATTCCAGAGTTTTATAAAAATTGTTTATCAGCTATATTTTTTAAACAGTAAAAATTTTATAAATAAATTTATTATATAATTTGTTAATTTTTATTTTTTGATTTATAGTATTTTATATAAATAATAAAAAATTTTCTTATATTAATATTATATACAAATTTGTTATATAAAAATATTAATATCGTGAAAATTTTTTTTTTATATCATTTATTATTTTATATAATAAATTTTTTACATTCATATTTTTTTGTTTTTAAAAATAAGTTACGTTTAATTAACGATACTTTACATTTAATACAATTTCAACAATAAAGATATTTCGCTAAACAATTATTATATGTTTTTCACATTGAAATGTTACAAATAATTTTTTTTCTTTTATATTTTATAATTTTAACATTTTATAACATTTTAATACTTTAAAGAGAAGTACTCTTACACATTATATGTCTAATTTTATATTTTTTAATTATTCTATCTTTTTATCTTCTTTATCTATGTCTAAATTAATCAACTGTTGTAACTCTGGTGGTAATAAATAGTCTGCTTGTCCTGGTATAGCATGAAAAATGAAATTAATGAATTTTTGAAAATGCTCAGTAACATTATAGAATTTTTCTTCTAACGATTTTTTATTTGTATGACAATTAATAATTTCTTGTTTCATAATATTAATGATATTTTTCAAGCTGATTACTAATTGGTAAAATTCATCAATTTTTTCCTGTATTAATATATAATGTTTTATAAAAATTTTTTTTAATAATTAATAAGACTTGAATATAATTTTATTACCTCGAAGTATTTATGTATGGCATGTTTTTCTCTATTACTTCGTACTCGCTCTAAACAAAGAACATAAATTATATCTGTGACATTTTGCATTTCAAATTGACGTTTTTGAATATACATATCTCTATTCGCCTTTTCTTTTAATTCTTGCATTTCGTTTTTAAATTTAATATGCCTCTTCCTGTGTGAATTTTAATTCAAATTAATTATGCAAATACATTATCTATGAATATAAACCTGCAAATATAAACCTCATGATTTGATTGAAATCAGCGATTATGGTATCCCTTTTAGCACAAAATAATTTTTCAAAATCATTATATAATGATTGTGTAATATACGTGATTTCTGCACGCATCTTTCGTATCATTTCCTGTGTTATATTCATCCGTTCTTGTATAATTGCTTTTTGTGTGTTCTTGGCACATTCTTCGGCTGCTGTAAGCCATTCTTTCTAAAAAATAATTATCTTTTTCTCTTTATAAATTTACTTTTTAGCGTTTTATTAGCATTATAAATAAATATATAAGCTTATGCAAAATCTTAGAAACTATTTTCTCAAAAATTAATAAAGATATTAATTTCTTTTATTTTTTTAAATTAAATGAAAGAGATATAATGATAGGAAAACTGATCTTTTGATATATAACAAATTTTTTTTAGCATAAATCATTATTAGAACGAATGATAAAAAGGTATCTTAATATCATAGAAAATGGTATTAATTTTTTGCTGTTCGAACAGTTTTTATCAAATGAAATAATGCTCATTAAAATATTAAAATTATTTAAACTATTTTTTTTTTTACTTTTATTATAAGTTAAAAACTTGTAGAAAAAATTTACGAATGCGAAATATTATTATTTCATTATATGTTTAAAATTTTGATTTTTAAACACTTATATAAAAACTTCTTTTCTTATTAGTTTTCTTACAAAAATTTGTTATTAATCATTTATTATCAATTTGTATCAAGAGATAATTTAATTAAAAGAAAAAGAAAGTTTATATCTTCATTAATTTTTAAGAAAATGATTTTTAATATTTTATATAAATCATCTTCTATATTATATGAATATATATATATATATATATACATATATTTTTTTATTTTCGTATATTTTTTCAATAAAATCTCATTCAATTATCTGTTTTTAATTTTTATTTGAATTATTCTGTTTTTGATAAAAAAAATTTTAATAATTAAAATAATATGATTATTAAACAATACTTATAAAGTAATTAAATCTTTTTATAAAACATATTTTATAATTTTTTTACGAAAAAGATTAAAAAGATTTTCAACGTTAATTTTTTTTCAAATGAAATATTACTATATTTTTTTTTCCTAAGACAAATATTTCAATTAGATAACGATTCTCATATAGAACAACCTTGAAGAAAGAAAGTTACACAATCGTATATAAACGTTTTTAAAATAAAATTTTTCATTAAATGAAATTTTTTGTTTGTATAAGATTTTAATTATAAATTAAAAAAAATAATTATTATAATAAATTCAATTATATTAAGTTAGACACAAAATCTTCAATTTTTTGAATATTGTTTAACATAGTATCATTCATATCATTATTTATCTATTCAATAAAAACACATCAGCTTATCAGATTTTACAGAAAAAAAAAAAAAATAAAAGATTTCTTTTCAAAAAAATTTTATGTATATGATTATCAATTGGAACATTATTTCAAATTTAAATAAAATATTATTAAACTATTTTTTGTTGAAATATCAATATTAATTAAATTATAATAATATAATAATATATTAATTAAATTCTATTTTTTTCTCTTATACTTAATATATAAGATATTTATTTATAGCAAATATTGAAAAATATTTATTTAAAAAACAAAAATTCATAAAGAATATATAAAAAGTAATGAAAATTGTTACTTGGAGTTGTTTCTGTAAATTGACTCGAACAGATTCAAGGAAATTCTGGTATTTTTCATGCAATTGTTGCGTTTGCAGATCGACTTCTCGTCTTTTTTTTGCTTGATACAAATAAAACTTCTCTCGCGATTGCCTTTCTACTTTTTCTCTTAAACTTTCTTCAACTTCCTTTTTTAAATTTTCTATGAGAGTTTCACCTATCTCTATTAATTTTATTTAAAATATATTTGAATTATTATTTTTGTTTAAATTACGTCATATATAACATAACATTTTCTTAATAATGATAATATTACTTAATATATTTTGATGTACAAATGCTTTTATAACTTGATGGTCTGTTGGTGGCATGTATTCATTTTTGACCAACTGATCTTCGGATGGAATTGAAAAACATGGTTTTGATGTTTTTGGTGTTATTAGTACATCTAATAATTTTAATGTATCATGATGAGTATAGTCAAAAAACACTTGTGCCAAGGATGGACCAAGACAAGTGCGAATTACTGACGAAGGCGGAACATCATTGTTTGAGCATAATTTTACATTACATTTTACACTTGTTTGATCTGTAAAAATTTTACTTTTTCTATTCACTCAAAGATGTAATAAAATATTAATAAATACTATTTTGACTTACGCATATCTTTTAGAATGCTACGAAAAATTTTTAATAAATAAATTTTAAGAAAGAATTAACCTTTCCAAAATAATATCTTTAATTGATGACAGATTGATTTAAAGAAAAAAACAAAAGAAAGAATAATCATTCTCAAGTAAAAATATAAAAATTTTAGCGATACATAAAACTTCGAATTATATTTATAAGAATAAAATTCTATTAAAAGATATAAATTTATATAATACAATTTGTGTTATAAAATTGTATCGTTTTATATATATTTTTATATATTTTTATATATATTTATATATATTTATATGAACGAATAATAAATTATATAAAATTATAAATAAATAATAAATAAATATAAAATTATATTTTTATTTTTTAAAATTTTATGTTAATTTTTTAATAAAATTATATTAATTTATTTCAAAATAAAAATTTTGGTTAGGTTAATATTAAGATAATTTATATTTGGAAATTATTTTTTGAAATTTCTGAATTTTTTTAGAACGTAAATATATAAATAAAATTGATCTTAACAAATAGAAGAAAGTAAAAGAAAACTATTTCAAGTATGACAACTGTTGCACACTAAATATAGTTATTATAATTACAAGAAAAAAATAAAATCTATGCTAAAATAATGAAACATGTATATATAATTTTCTGCATTAAAAATATTATAGTTAAATTAATATGTGATTTATCAAATTTTTATATTATATATATATAATATATATAATAAATTATTACAATTATTCATAAAAATCACTGAACTGTGATAAATAAATTGACATAATAATTTAAATATAATATAATTAAAAATCTAAAAAATTATATAAAATTTTAAAGAAATTTAAGTATATATTCTAAATCTATAAAGATAAATTTTAATTTAATTTAAATTCAAAATCTGTTTTTTAAAGTAAAAAAAATTATCTTATTTTTATTGAAGTTTCTTAAATTATATTTTTACTCTTATTGTCACAATTATATAAAAAATATATAATTTTTAAGGATAATTAACACTATTAATAAATTAAAATGAAAAATTTAATATTAACTAATTCTGTATATGTATTATCATTTCATTTCACACTAACAAAGATGTCGCCATGTATTTTAACCTCTTCTGACACGAGGTTTATATTCTATATATAAAAAATTATAGAATATGAAAATAAATAAAATTAGTTTTAACAATGATACCAATTATGTATATTGTTACAGAACAATTAAAAGTACGAAATAATTTTATTGTGTCTTCATTTTTAAGGTGTATATTTTTATTATTCTTGTTATATTTGTTATAGCATTTACAAAAATTTTAAATTGTTTATATTAAGTTATTTAATTAAATTTATATGATTTTTAGACAATTATGTTCTAGAACTAAATTTATACAAAATGTAAAAAAAAAACAAAATAGTAACAAATTAAAAGCTAAAGAATCTATAAGTTCTTTATTCAAACCAGTTCCTGTAAATCAAAATTCAGATGATGCAAATGTTGGTATTGAATTAACTGGTAGTTTAAATAAACGTAAAATTGTACAAATTTTATGTGATTTTGCAAAGAAAGAAATAATTAAAGAGCTAACTATAAAATATGGATTAGATGGTAATTTTCTTTAATTATATTCTTGATTAATTTTCTTAATTTTATATTT